AACACAAACTAAAGGCTTCATTATGGGAACTCTGTTCTAAAATACAAAGAAATAAGAGGGAAGAGAAGATATCAGGATAGAGAGACAAGAAGGGAAGACACTTTGTGTCATTCATGCTATCTAATGCTGTAACCCCTGCTGTCTCTGAGGCTAATGAACTAACTGACTTTTTTATTTATATGGATTTATAGGGGAGCATAGTATCCACTGGAGTTCAATTCAAGGAACCAGTGTGGATACCAAAATCCATGGATGCTGAAATTCTAATACATACAAAGCCACAATCAAATGAGGTCTTGCAGTGTATGTGTGTGTGTGTGTTAGCAAAATCAAGCTTTATCCTTTTGTGTGTGTGTGTTTTCAAACCATGAATGGTTGAATCCATGAGTGGAGAATGCATGGATACAGAGGATTAGTTGCATTCACTTTATATTCTTTTTTCTTGTGCAGTCTGAGGCCAAGCAGTGTTCCTGGATTATGAATGCTGATTTCATAATATATCATTGAATCCATGAGTGGAGAATGCATGGATACAGAGGATTAGTTGCATTCACTTTATATTCTTTTTTCTTGTGCAGTCTGAGGCCAAGCAGTGTTCCTGGATTATGAATGCTGATTTCATAATATATCAACCTATACCCACTCCCTTGGAGTCCATGGTATTATGAAACCAATGAAAAGTGGGTGAAGTGATTATTCTATGTCCTCCTTTCTATATAAGATAATATGTTGCCTTACTGACATTGCTACCGCAGCATCTTCCTATCCCTATCTACACTGCCATATAATGCAGATGGGAACCTTGTCTTTTTCATCCATCTCTCATTTCAATGGCTCTTTGTTCCAAGTTGTCTATATTCTTCCACCTGTATGTTTGATTCTGCCCAACATATGGGTTCTTAGGAAAACACTACCAGCAGACACTGATACATATTGTGGTCTGGATATGGCTCCTACTGCAGCTGAGAAACATGGGATATTTCAGAGAGCTCTGCCACTTCTCTAAATGTATGGGTTGCTGTAGTATGCCTTTCAAATCTAGGGGAACCTTAAGGTGAACCTATCACAGGGTTTTCTCAGTAACATTTGTTCATAACAGTTTGCCATGACCTTCCTCTGAGAATGTACGGTTCCCCAAGACCGCCTAGGAGTTTCCATGGCAAAGTGAGGATATGAAAACAGATCCACAAAGAAGTAGACCAGCCCACAATAGACAATATTACTTTATCCCAACTACATCCGTGCATAGCAAGAATTCTTGAAACTGAAAAATTTGACCTCCAAATGAGACAGAATCTCTTTATGACTGAGTTATATCACAGGTTTGCTTCAGATTCTAAGCACATGAAAGAAATTTAGAAAATGAAAGGGATTGTGGATTTGTTTTAAAATTGCAGCAATGAAGTACATGCCATTGCAATTATTTTTGTATATTTTATGATGAATCCAGCGAGGAACAGCACACACTTTATAAGGATGGGGTGGTGTTGTCACTCCTGGTGTAGGATCTTCATTGAGATCTTTGACTCCTGGAGGCAGCTGGAAACGGAAGGCCCTCAGCAGGTTGACCAAGAAGATGAAGAACTCCATCCTTGCCAGCTGCTCCCCCAAACACACCCGAGAGCCTACAAGGGAGACAGTGGAAGAAAGTGAGTATCTATCCCATGCAGCAAACAGAGATGGATCTGAAAACTGGACTATGAATTGGTAGATTGCATTGAAAAATGGTGAACTCTCTATCATTGGGCAATTGTAAACAAAGGTTGAAAGGGCATCTTTCAGGATGCTATCCCTTCTGTCTCTTTGACTTGTTTTCTCCCTGGCATGAATAAGAAATAGGTGTCTGTTTTTTAAAAATCAAACAAACAGTTTTAATTAAGAAGAAAGTGGCAGAAACATTTCAGTATTACTGCATACCGGAAACAAAATAGTGAGGAACAAAGCCAGAAAAGGCAACTGATATGGAAGCAACTGATATGGAAGCGAAGGACAACTACAACCATGTCACTGCTAAACATTTTTCCTAAAAGCATTTTCATAGGTATCAAAGAAAAACAAAGCAAACTGAAATGGTAGAATACCCTTTTCACCCATACCAACATCCATGACCCATGTCGATCTCTCCTTTTTCCCCTCTCATGGATTTTTATAGGATTTATTGGCAGAAAATCTCTGGTTTCCCATAACTGCACCGTTGAGTATTAGTTTATTCTTCTTAATTGAGCCATAATTGTAATGAATGTTTTGCTGCCTTAATGAATATGTGCTCCAGAGCAGTAACTGCACTGACTCACAAGGGACAGAAGCTGCAGCAGCTCTGATCATGGAAACTTCTTTGGAAGCTTTTAAACAGAGGCTGGATGGCCATCTGTCAGGGGTGATTTGAATGCAATATTCCTGCTTCTTGGCAGGGGGTTGGACTGGATGGCCCATGAGGTCCCTTCCAACTCTTTGATTCTAAACTCCGCAGAAGACACACCAATAAATCACAAGTCACTATGAACTACCTTTACCTGCACCAAATGCCAGAAACTCTTTTCTAGCAACAAAATGTCCATCCTGGTCCAAAAAATGTTTTGGATTGAACTCTTTAGGAGACTCCCAGTGCTTTGGATCAAGAAGAACAGAGTATAGATTTGGTATAACGATTGTCCCCTGAAAGGCAAAAACAAATGTCAGACAAACAAGCACATGCTCATCTCTCTTAGAAATGTGGATTTTGTGGGAAAGAGCTGCCTGATCACTTATCTAAACCCAACTAACTTTTTGTTTTGTTTGTTTGTTTTTTGCAATTGCTGACTTCGTACATCATGCATGCATAACGCAGACATACTCGCACCTAGTTATATGATGTTGCTATTAAAATGCAGAGTGTTGGGGCATGTCTACAAGGACCATGTAATGCAAGATTACAGTGGCACAGCCAAAAGTGAAGCTAATGTGCACTTGATCATTGGTCAAGCAGAGGAACTGTGTGGAGGCCTGGGCAGTCCACTGAAAAATTTGGCACCAACATGATTCCAGGATCCCTAGAGCTGTGGAGGATTTAGGGTTTTTTTCAAAGTCTCCCACCCTAATGCGATTGAAGTGCATTCAGTGGCCTATTTTGGAGAACCATCAGACTACTTGACCCTCAATCAGTTTTGTCATGTAAATGAAGTGCATTCAGTGGCCTATTTTGGAGAATAACACAAGTTATTCCACAATTAATTCCAATTTAAGGCCTCAAAAGTGCATTATTATGCATGCTTGGGCATCACGTTTTTGAGTTACCTTCATTCCAATCCAAGTTGAATGATCAATGTAGATGAACCCCAAATCCAGTGTTCTAACCATTACTCCACACTGGCTCTGTCCTATATGGGTACCTCTCTCAAAACCTTCAGTCAACATTAAGTTGTCTGCATAGATGTTTATAGGTGTGCTACTAGTCCAATGTTCACACCATTACTCCATGCTATCTCTGTCCTATGTGAGTACAATTCCCAAAATGTTCTATCTCCCAGCCTTGTTCTTGGGATACAGAAGTATATATCTACATTCTCTACCTTAGGGATGAGAAAACCTCTCATCTTCACATCTTTGGTTGTTTGTCTTGGGATCCCAAATAAGAGGGGATATTTTGAACGCTGAATCTCATGGAGCACAGCGTTTGTATAAGGGAGCTTCTTCAGATCTTGATAGCTGAAGGAAGAGGAGCACAACACATCGTCTATTTCCTTGTAAGCTTTATCTTTGAAAAAGGAAGGAAATGGATGAAAGATTTATTATGAATATTAAAGCTTATTTCAGAATAATTATTCATGGATTTTAATAACGTTCAATGAAAAATTCATACAGGTCTATCCACTATAATTTAATAAACAGCAACTCCCAAATCACAATTAATTTATGATATTTATATTCCACTTTCCCTCCAAAGAGTTCATGTCACTTCCATCGCTCTATGGCAGTGGTTCTGCGAGACATGGGAGGAAAATTGCAACTATGCATGTGCTGGGGGTCAATGTCGCCATTGGAGGAGTATGAGAGGGGAGAAGAAGAGAAGGAAGGAAGGTGATGCCAGCACGTTGTCCTTGCCAGCACTTTCTCAGCTTCCCAGGCCAGGGTGGAGAAGACTCACCTGGCGGCACACATGTGGGAGCTAGGAGAGGGAGGGAAGGAAGGCAGGCTGTTGCACTCCCCAGCGGTTTCTTGGCCTTGGGAGGCTTTCTTGGTGTATTTGATTCAGATTCATAAAATTGCATTGTAAATGTCTACCACATTCATAGAAAGAATAAAAACTGGATCTGATTTTCTTTCTTCTTTGATTTAGCACATTCTTAAAAAGTGACTACTGACACAGCAGGATGTTGTTCTTGCTGCACAGCGTTCTCTCTTACCTTGAATATCTGGATGATTTGCCAGAAGGAGGATTGCCCATTTCAGAGAAGTGGCAGTCGTTTCCGTTCCAGCAATAAATAAGTCATGAATATCCTGAGCCAGGTTCTCATCATCATATGTAGAGGTAGGATCATTCTTCCTCTGGTGGTGACAATATGAAAGATGAAAAATGACTTATGATTGACTGCAAAGCATCTCTTCAAGGCTGCCTTTCTATGGGTGTGCATATGCCTTCACGTTGCCTATTGATTTCTGGCAAACCCATGTATCTTAAAGGGTTCTTAAGGCAAGGAACACTCAGAGGTGGGTTTGCCAATTTCTTCCTCTGAAATATGGACTGCAGCACATGGTAGTCATTGACAGGCTCCATCAAAGTAGTAACTAGGACTGACCCTGCTTAGCTTCCAAGATCAGATGGGATATGGTGCTAGTTTTTAGATCCTATTTCTACAGCACTATATTATTCTACTGCTGAAACAGGTTTTGTAAGTGTGTAAATTTGGGTACTGTTTCAACAGCAGGACTCCTAGCCAAGAATTTCTCGGCAGAACTGAGATACTGATCTGGGAGATTTGTCTATACTATACAGCTCTGTTATATCTCTCGTCTGGGATGTAGTGAGAATGCCTTACGACTGGGGATTTCCCTTAGCAGGGAGTTGTTCCTTTTTGACATCCACTTCAGGGGCACAAGCCAATCCTTTTATACCTGCATTTAATTTCTGCACATTGGCATAGTATGAGGGGAAGTTACCTTCTTTGTCTGCTCCAAATGAACACACACACTACACCACACCCTTGTCCATAATAGAATTTGGACATTCACAGTTATTTTGTTATCCACAGGGATTCTGTAATCATACCACAGCCGATACCAAGGTCCCTTTGCATTTCTTGGAATTGATATAATAGGATACAAAGCAGCTACTTACTTTTTCTATTTCAAGCAGGTAGAAATCAATGAAATCCCATAACTCCTGAAAGGACTTTTGCTCCTTATGCTTCTGTATTTCTTCCTTTGCTAATGCAAGTACCATCTCTGTGGCATGCAAAGCCTCGTTGTGAGGCCCTGGAAGATGCTTCATGAGCCATGGGAACATTTCATATAGCTACAGCAAAGACAGAAACAAAGGCTTACCATTACTAGAGCAGAGGCAATAAAATACAGTCCAAGCAGCTTTGACACACACAAGTTGCTTTATGATAAGAAGATTTATTGGTTGCAAACAAGAAATGTAGATGTAGTTAGCAAATGGCTGAATCTTCTCCAGTGTTCTATTCGGCAGGGAGGTTTATTTATTTATTTATTTATTTGAAACATTTATATTCTGCCCTTCTCACCCTGAACGGGACTCAGGAACGGAGCACAACATATACTTTCCATGCCAAAACATAAAATTACTAAAAATATACACAAACGCTAAAATCAGATTATATTTACTTTTAAATCAATTCAAAACACCATGACAGCTCCGGTCAGCGGAGTGGTTTTCCTATTATGACCTTATTGCACTGTTCCAAAAGCTTGGTCCTGCAGCCTGGTTTTTACATCTTTCTGAAGGACATGAGAGAGGGGGCTGATCTAATCTCGCCAGGAAGGGAGTTCCATAGCTGGGGGGCAATCATTGAGAAGGCTGTGCTGGTACGGCTGTACCAGGAGCTCCAACTTCTTTTCTTTCTTTGAGTGTTTGCATGTATTCCAAAGTTCCATGCATTTTGCAATAAGGTGGCTTCCCTTGGTTTGCAATTATAGGGCCTATGACCCATCAATCATTGTTAAGTTTTGGTTCCGTACCTTTCCCCAGGGCTCTGGGAGGAGAGGGAGCCATTTTAGGTTAGTCTTGCATTGGAAAGCTTAGCTACAGGACATGGATTAGCTCCACCTGTACAAAAGCTTCGTTTCTCACAGCATCCGGGGGAAATTCTGGGGAAAACAGTTCCAAAGGACTCCAGCTGGAGAATCTACAAAGCCTTGACTGGTAGGTCTACTCGGGACCCAAGAAGCAGTTTGGAGCCGGGAGTAGAGCCCACACCAGCAAAGTTTAGAAAGTAGATTGCCCAAGGAGGGGTTAAAAAGGGTTTTCCTCTTAAAGAAAAGAAACAGTTCACGAAGCCAGTTGCCTGTCCCTTGTGGGCAAGATTAAGAAAGCCACCAGTTGATTCAAAGCCTTGAAGCATTTGTTTAATTTGTTGAAGATCTAAGAAGTATTTGTTTTGTTGAAGACTTAAGCAATAATAAAGGACTTTGTTAAACTTTTCAAGCTTTTAAAGACTCTGTATAGGAAAATCCTTAGGGCCTCTCACTTAAGGCACCCCGGCTTCCCACTGGGCACAAAAAGCATGTCCTGTTCAAAAGCCAATTGCTATAGGCCCAGTGCGTGACAGCACAAAGGCCCTCTCTCTTGTTTCTGGCAACTGTGCCTGTGATGGGGATGGAACCGAGAACAGGGCCTCCTTGGAAGATCTTCGTCTTTGTAGTAGTTTATAAACTGGGCTGGGACATTACTACTCAACTCCCATTTTTCTGCTGTTTTCAAAATATTTTTTATTTATGTATTTATTTATTTACAGTTTTCATATTCCGCCCTTCTCAATCCTCAGGGGACTCAGGGCGGATTACAATGCACACATATATGGCAAATAGGGCTGGGCAACCACGGAAAAATTTGTTTCTAAAATCGATTCGTTTTTTGGGGGGTTTTGCATTTAGTTATTTAAAAGAATTCCGAAATTTTTCTTTTAAAAAGTTCAATATTTACGAAATTTCGTAAATTACAAAACAATTACGAAACAATTACGAATCGATTCGTTAATGGCGGATGCGACCGCGCAATACGCTAAAAAACCTCCAAATGGGACAGGGGGAACTTCTGAAGCTTCCCCCTCCCTCTGTTGTTGACTGTTGGTGTGATATTTATAATTTTTTTTCACTGATTAAACAAACAACAACTATAAAACTTGCCCCAGAAATGCGGAAATAATAACGAAACGATTTCAAAACGATAACGAAACGAATACAAAACGAATCCGAAGCAATTACGAAACGAATTTAAAAATTCATTTCGTTTTTTAGATGCTCCTGAATGGTTCGTTATCGCTTCGTTATAAAAAAAAGAATTTTGAATGAATTACGCCCTAATTGCAAACATTCAATGCCAATTAGACATACAACACATATAGACAAACACAGAGGCAATTTTAACATTCCAGCTTTCTGGCTTTCATGAGGGTATGCTTGATCTGTCTCAATTCCAGCCACAGGGGGAGATGCTGCTTCACCATCCATTTGTGGCACCAAGTCTTTTTAATGGAGTACTTCCTCATTCTTCCACATGCTGCTGGAAGGTTTTATGGCATCGTATACTAGTCAAATTAGCCTCCCTGCATATAGCAGTACCTAATTTTCCTACTTGACAGATGCAACTGTCTTTCGGGCTGCAAAGGTTGACAGCAAGCTAAATTAATGGCCAGAATCTCATTCTGACCCAGGCTGCCTTCGAACTCAAGACCTCTTGGTCAATAGTGATTTAATGCAGCTGGCTATCAGCTAGCTGTGCAACACCCCGGTCCACAAATACCTCACTTCCTCCTACTTTACCTCTTTGTCCCCATTTAAACTGACCCATTTCTCAAGCCTCATCTGGATGCTGGATAAGATCAGAAAGGAACCTGTAAAAATATTCCCTCAGCCACTGAAGAACTAGGAAGGAGTTCTTACCCCGCAGTGCTTTTTGTATAGTTTGGCACCATTAGGCAGCCATTTTAACTGTCCCCCAAGTTATGGTGGTTTCTAGCTGTGACACAGCACCTTCCTTTTCCCCATCACTGGCCTTCATTGCAGATGTATTTCTATGCCAAAAATTTTCCAAAGTTTTTTAAAGTGATCACTGCAAAAATACTGCACAAGAGTCATTTATAAGTTGTCATGTAGCTTTACAGAGGAAATGTGCTAAGAAACTACTCAATTATGAAAATGCATAACACTTTGTTGGCTCTAATTTCTAGTAATGTAACAACCGTCCTTTATTGAAAATTATTTTGTTGCTTATGCTCCCTCTATTTCATTAGTTTTATACTTATTTATGCAATGGGTTTGACACAAAATAATAATAATAGCTCTTTATTAGATGCAGACATGAAAAACCTTCTCAATTCAAATTCCTACAGGCCTAAGTCCATTCACAAAGATGTAATTCCTCAAGAGGATTCCAGTCTTGGTTTCCTCCTGCAAACTGAGAGAAAACTTCAGAAAGCATTCATCCTCATACATGACAATGAAATGGTGAAATATTTACTTCCCTTGGTGTAAACTGTGAGGATTTACTTCTGCAGGATTTACTCCAGTCTGCCAAAACCAAATTCAAATCTAACACAAACAAAAAAAATTTAATTGTTTTCAAAATGCTGCTTACCAAATGAAAAAGACCCATTCCACATTTTAAGGTAAATGCAACGCCTTCAGTTAGTTTCTTGAAAGTTTCATCTTCAAGAGGGAAACGATATCCAAAGGTGATAGCACATATCACGTTGGCGATTGAATTTGTGATAGCTAATGCAGGATCAAAGGGCTGCCCTGCAAATCAAGTTCAGTTAATATTTGTATTTATGTTTTCTTATATTTATATTAGAAATCAACCAAAATATGAGAAATTCCACATCAAAAATGAGTACAGACTACACACAAACTTCTGCAGGTTGACACATACCTTTTTCACGTGCAAAAACCTCTACAAGCTGTTGGGATTCCTCTTCTATTTGGCCCTCCACGCTTTTTTTCCCCACTCCCAGTTTCCGCAGTGTAACTAGGCCAAACCGCCTCTGCTGCTTCCAGTTCGGTCCATTCGAAAGTACAATACCTGAGGGTGGAAGGAATCCATCTGCAATTATTACAAAATTCAGGTCAAATATGTGCAGCTGGTAATGTAGGTCAGCCAGCATGTTTGGGCCACACCCGATAGGGTATAACTGTATGGGTTTTAGAATACACTTCCGCTTTTGCTCTGAGAAGATCTGTGCTCAAAGGCTTTCCTCTGGAGAGCAGTTTGGAGAAGCTACTATGAAGAAGGCTATGGTGGAATAGCTGTTTGCTCAAGATTTGTGTTTTGCTCTCTCGTGTGATTGAAGATCCCTTATTCTATGTTTCTTACAAGGACTATATAAGTTTCTTGCACTGTTTGATTTTTGTATGCAACACTGCAAATTTATGTTTCACCTCTGCTATTAAGAGTAAAGATTTTTCTGTTCATTTTTCCTCTTGCCTGTATGTCTTTTGCAAGGGACATTGGCTAGAATCCACTTGCTGAGCAACACCTCCTGTGTAAATGAAACTCCTTAATAAAAAGCCATGTTTATATCCATTAATGAAAAGAAACTAAAGTTTCTCCATTCAACCTCCAAAGGAAAAGTATTTTATAGCCAGTGTTCTGTCACACGCTGGGCCTGTAAAGAATTTCCTTTAGAACAGCACGTGCAACCTTTGCCCAGCGGGAAGCCAGGGGGCCCTAGGAGAAGTTCTCAGAGGTTTTCCACCACCAATGATCTTTAGATGGCTTGTGAAGTATAACAAAGTCTTTTATTAATGAACAATCAAACAGAAACTTCTCTTGTCTTCAATAAAGCTAAACAAATGCTTCCGAGCTTTATGCAACTGGTGACTTCCTAATCTTGCCCACGAAGGACAGGCAACTGTCTTCAATAACTTCTTCTTTACTTTAAAGGAAAATCCCCTTTTTAACTTCTCCCAGGCTGACTGTAATCTAACCCTTACTGATGTGGGCTCTGCTACCGGGTCGAACTGCATCTCGAACGCCGAGTGGACCTACCAGTAAGGCTAGTAGAATCTCCAGCTGGAGTTCTTTGGTCTTTAGGGCTGTTTTCCTGGAAATCTTTGGAGACTCTTAAGACTGTTTCCCCCCAGAAAGTCTTGGTGCTCTTAAGACTGTTTTCCCCCGGAAAGTCTTAAGGTTGAAGCTTTTGTACAGGGGAAGCTTGCACACGTCCTGTACATTAGCTTTCCTTGCTGAGACTAACTAAAAAATGGCTCCCTTCCCTTCCCAATTGCCCTGAGCAAGGGGCGGAACCAAAACTTAACGATGATGGACAGGTGACTTGCCCTACAACTGCAACCAAAGGAAGCCACCTATCTGCAGAGTCCCTGAAACCTTGGACTGCAAGCAAACATTTAATACAAAGCAAATAAATTTGGAGCTCCTGGTACAGCCATACCAGCACAGCCAGTCATCAGATTTTCATGTCTGATATAATAGGTTGCATTTTTCACTTCTTTAGTTGTTAAGTTATAATTTGCTTTTATATGTTAGGTTGTTAATTGCGTTTATATTTTAGGTTGTTAATTTTCATTATTATGTGTGTATTTTTGTTAAGTTCAGTCAATGAATGTTTGCCTTTTGTTATTGGAATCCGCCCTGAGTCCCTTCGGGGAGATAAGGCGGAATATAAATAAAGTATTATTATTATTATTATTATTATTATTATTATTATTATTATTATATTACTTACAAATGTACATAGAAAGTTGTAAGTACAAAGTAAAGTGCAGATCTCGTACTCAACATGATGATATTCTCATATCTCAATTTGCAACACCAACAATGTATGGCATGACATGGCCTGGCTGTGACTGTGCTATGGATTTATCTTCCTGATTTATTTCCTGTTTAGTGCATTTTTGTTTCTCTGGGGAGAGATGTCCCTAGTATAGCTCTCCACAACTTACCCTTTCCTCTTCCTAAAGTTGTAAGAAATGGAGTCTGTACCCGCTCTGAGAAGTCTTCCGAATGATCAATCAATACTTCTTTCACAGCTTCAAATCCAGAAAATATTACAGCTGGTATATGTCCCACCCACAAAACAGAAATCTCTCCATATCGTTCTGCCAGCTGCCATTTGAATCAATGCAGAAAAAGAAAAAGAACAGTTACAATCAAAAGAATTAATGATTTCAGGCTGATATAGGATTAGCAACCATATTCAGATCCTCACTTCTGATGTTTTGTGGCCATAGTAACACCCCCACTCTCGATTTCATTTTAGATTTTAGGTGAGAACTGCCCTTCTCCCATTTTCTCCAGTCTTATGAAACCACCTCCCTCAAATCACTTACATTAGAAATGTAGTGCCGTTTTTAATTGAGTTTTCAGTTCTTGTTTTATGTGCTTATTGTTTTATCTTATTGCATTTTATACTCTGTTTTATTTTATGCTCTGTTTTTAGGCACCTTTGTGCCATGTATAAGCCACGCTGAGTCCCTTTGGGGAGATGGTGGTGGGATACAAGAACAAAGTTGTTGATGTTGTTGTAGTTGTTGCTATTATTGTTGTTATTGTTATTCTTTTATTGATGCAAAAACACAGTATGACACAGCCAACGAAATACACATGCTGGATTTCATATCACAAAATCACAAGTCGAACACTATTATTATTATTATTATTATTATTATTATTATTATTATTATTAGAGCTGGACCTTAGGGAAGGCTGAGCGAAGGAAGATAGATGCTTTTGAACTGTGGTGCTGGAGGAAAGTTCTGAGAGTGCCTTGGACTGCGAGAAGATCCAACCAGTCCATCCTCCAGGAAATAAAGCCCGGCTGCTCACTGGAGGGAAGGATACTAGAGACAAAGTTGAAGTACTTTGGCCACATCATGAGGAGACAGGAAAGCCTAGAGAAGACAATTATGCTGGGGAAAGTGGAAGGCAAAAGGAAGAGGGGCCGACCAAGGGCAAGATGGATGGATGGCATCCTTGAAGTGACTGGACTGACCTTGACGGAGCTGGGGGTGGTGACGGCCGACAGGGAGCTCTGGCGTGGGCTGGTCCATGAGGTCACGAAGAGTCGGAGACGACTGAACGAATGAACAACAACAACAAATTATTCGATCCGATCACATAATGTCACTGCTCTTTTGCAATGCCTCTGTGGGAGACCTTTTAAAAAGTGTTTCTTTTTTATTAACACTAATGACCCTTTTATCATGTCTGTTGCACTGCTCAATTGCACTTTTCTGCCAGTCACCATTGAGTGGTAGATGTGCTTTGGGTGATTTCCTTACAATTGACAAAGTAACTATGAAACCCTTATCAAGGCATGTTCTCCATCACTGCATCTGCAGAAGTAATATGATGCCCATGAAAAATCATCTGTCTCTAAGTTGAAATATGTCTCTCTGCCTGGACCAAACATGGCACACACATATTCATCATGAACATCTTTAAATATTGGTGGGGTTTGGAGGGAAGTGACAGAAAATGATGGGAGTTACAGTTTATTCATCATCAAGGGTATTCTGAACCTAAGACACAATGGATCTGGAGCAGACTTAGCACACATTTATCCATCACTAGCGATGCCCTGCCACGTGTTGTTGTGGCCCAGTCTGTTAATCTGGGAAATAAAGTAATGAGAAAATGTTGGTTTTTAAGATATGTAATTTCTTTCTTCTTGTGAGTAAACAGTACTTCTTGCTGTTTCTTTGTCAGTGTTGATGTGGAGATTGTCTGGTTTGCCTACTCTGGAACATGCAACATATTATTGTCCTTCTTTAGGGGTGCCTTTCAAATCTATGATACTATATCTGTGTGTCTGTGAATCATATCTATCTATCTATCTATCTATCTATCTATCTATTAGGCCTGGGTAACAACGGAAAAATTTGTTTCTAAAATCGATTCGTTTTTTGGGGTTTTTTGCGTTTCGTTATTTAAAATAATTACAAAATTTTCCTTTTAAAAAGTTCGATATTTACGAAATTTCGTAAATGTGAAAAAATACAAAACATTAACGAATCGATTTCCGAAACAATAACGAATCGATTCGTTAATGGCGGACGCGACCGCGAAATACGCTAAAAAACCTCCAAAAACTTCTGAAGCTTCCCTCTCCCTCTGTTGTTGACTGTTGGTGTGATATTATAATTTTTTTTCACTAATTAAACAAAAAACTTGCCCCAGACATGCGGAAATAATAACGAAATGACCTCAGAACAATAACGAAACGAATACAATAACGAAATACGAAGCATTTACAAAACGTGTTTAAAAATTCGTTTTTTTTAAAAAATTGCTCCAGAATGGTTCGTTATCGTTTTGTAATTGAAAAAATTAACGAATTATTAACGAATTACGAATTAACGAAACGAAACCGCCCAGCCCTATATATCTGTGTGTCTATCTATGGCTGGATGGCTCTTTGTCTGGAGGGCTTTGATTACGTTTTCTTGCACTGGTGAAGTGAGTTGGATGGCCTTAAGTATTTTCTGTTGGTCATAGGGTTCTGTGTGGGAAGTTTGCCCAATTCTGTCATTTGTGGGGTTCAGAATGCTCTTTGATTGAAGGTGAACAGTGAATTCCAGGGACTACAACTCCCAAATTAATATGTATTTCCCCCAAAGTCCATCTGTTTTCATATTTGTGCCAAATGTGGTCCAGATCCATCATTGCTGGAGTCCACAGTGCTCTCTGGATGTAGGTGTACTACAATTCCGAAAGGAAAGGTCAATGCCCACCAAACCCTTCCAGTATTATCTGTTGGTCATGGGAGTTCAGTGTGCCAAGTGTGGTTCAAATCCGTAAATCCCAGAAATGAGGAGTACATTGTTATAAAAGTGAAAAAGCAGCGGGCAGGAGAAGCAGTTGGGCGAGACCCACCTCCCACCAGGCAGGTTTGGAGGCCGCCGAAGGCAAGAGGGGCATCAGGCCGCAGTGGAAATCGAGGCCCCGGCTTAGGAGAAGACGGCGGGCCTCCCGTCTCATGTTGTTTTTGTTGCCCTCGGCGGCCCCTCGCAGCTTCCATGCCCTCCCCGGCCGTTAGTGCTTACATCGGCCTGGTGGGCTTTCTCAGGCTGGGCTCGCAATCTCTCCTGGTCTTTTTCCGTCTGTGTATCTGAGGCAGCAGCGGGACCGATGGGGTAGAGGGAGGGAGGGAGGTGGCAGTGCGCATGTGGAGGGCGACTTGGGCGTGGGGAAAGCTGGGAAATTGAGTCCTTCCTCCTCATGGTATTCCTCCTGAGGCCTCTGTGCATGCTCCGTGTTTTTTGGGTATTGTGAGTTTGTGTTGTTGCGTATTGGTGTTTTGAGGGTTGTTGGTCATACCTTGGGGGAAGAGGTATTAGCAGGCCAAATTTGGTGAGATTTCGTCCGGTGGTTTCTCCGTTTTTGAGCGCTTAAGGATGCCCTTAAGCTTTTTATATATATAGATGACCAAATTTAAGTACTGACAGGGCTTGTTGGGCAATAGAAGAGGATGGTAGGCGTTGCAGTCTGCCCACATTGAAAGAGCACTGTGACCCCAACGGACAATGGATCTGACCCAAAATTGGCACATATTCTCATAATGACCAATTTTAAATAGTTGGGGAGTTTGTGGAGTAATGACAGAGGATTATGAGAGTTATAGTTTATCTACATCCTTATGCATTTTCTAATGGGATCATTGCTAACCCCCCCCCCCAAATGACTTTTTCTCATCTTTGTCCTTACCAAATAACTAACACAGGCATCACCAAGCAACTAAGCTAGTGTCAAAATAAATTAGTTCACTCCACCTCAAAGTTGTGTGTGGCTCAGTTCCTTCACCCTGTGCAACACATACTTTCCATTTAATGCTGAAACAGACTGAGAAGGGAAAAAGAATAATGTAAAAAAAAAGCAAAAAAAAAAGGTCCATCCCATGTTGTCCTTGAGATTAAAAAAGAAAAGTGGGGAAAAAAGATATAAAATAAAATGGACTTCCCTCTATTTCTTTGAAGATCTTTTGTCTGTTTGTGTAGAAACATATTTTAATAACAGCTTCCTTTTTTTTGTTTCTTCTTTCATCCTTTTACTCAGATAATCTCTATTTTTTGTTGTTTGAAATAACTTCTTACCATGTCCCAGTTTGTGTGCTTCTTTGGGATTCAATAAGTTAGTTCATCCATGTTCATTATTTCCATAATTTTGCCAGTCTTCTCTTTTTGGTATTTCCTTCTGTCTCCATTTTTGAGCATATACAATTCTGGCTGCGGTGGTTAAATAATTGAAAATTATATCCATATTTTTGTCAGCGTCAAAATTGAGCATTCCAAGCAGGAGGAATTCTGGTTCCTTTTTAAATTGTATTTTCAAACAAAATTGTATGTCCTTGTTTGTCATGTTCCAAAATTCTTTTGCCTTTGGACAGGACCACCAAATATGAAAAAATGTTCCTATCTGTTGTTCACATTTCCAATTATTCTTTTTCCCTTCTCTGTTTCTTCTTTCCTACTTTTCTATCCTCTCTGAAATATTCCCCCACTTTCCATGTAACCCTATATTATACTAATAAAATAAAAAATTACTGGAAAAAACGCTGAAACAGACTGTCACAACCATCTCTTTGATGTGTATTCAGTGTTTTACTAACAATGAACAGTGGGCTTTCCCACTACATATGAAAGACTTTGCAGAGCTTCAAATCCCAACACTCCTAAATTCCATGGAATTTCTTGCCATCCATCTTCCCCTTCTGTTCTATATAACATCCTACACCTCATCTATATTATTTTTATCAGGTGTAGTTTCTATGAAGCTATTCTATTGATGGAACTGATTCTTTGAAGGAGGGAGTTTTTTCACCTTGGTTCCCTCCATGTTATCAAAATTGCTCCGGGTCCGTGAAGGAAGATGTGTGGGTACCATTGAAAATTGTGCAGAGCAAAGGGAGGGAAGATATCTCATTGCATGCACAGGGGTGTTACGTTCATTGTACATTTATACACTGTTAGTACCACTGGGGGAATCTTTGGAACAAAAATCAGAACTGGGAAAAGTTACATTTCGAACTGTAATGATAACACGCAATGTCTAGACAGCCTAGAAGATTCTGAGAGTTATAGCTCGAGTAAACAATATCTCTAAACTCTGGCAAAACTTTAATGCTATTATTACAACAACCAAACATACCAATAATATGTTTTCATGTCAAACATTTAACTATGTATTTTTATAACTCACAATTCTTTTGTCCACAGCCACCGTAGAAAAAAATCACAATGATTTTCACTAATTCTGAATCAGATTCATAAATTGTTGCTTAAAAGTTTAGAGAGAGAAAAGTACCTTCATTAGTGTCTCCACATTAAATCCAATTCCAAAGTTAACTCTCCATATGCCTCCAATAAGAGGAAAGGCAAGAGGCCCAGGGGGAAAATGTCGGCGTGAACACTGCTGTTTCAGATAGGAGAGAAGCAGAAGAGTCACAAGCAGAACAATCAATAATGTTCCAGTCCCCTCCATTCTCCTGTCGTCTTTCTCTTTGGTTATTTCCAACCAGCTATGGAAAATATCCTCATACATACACATATATACACAACATAGGACCAATTTTGGTCCACGTATGTTAAAAATATGTCCTATATTAAATCAACATTCAATATATCTTGTACGTCCCAAATCCCTTTTTAATTAAAGTACCTTATCACGTGAAAAAAATCAAATCATGCAACACATCCTGCTCGAATGTTCATCCTGTTCATCCTGTTCGCAGTCTGCCTCCTCCCTGAGATTAACCTTCTGACTGCGTGTATGTGCCTTCATGTTGTGTGTTGACTTGTGGAAATTTTATTAATTTCACTGAGTTTTCTTATGTAAGGAATACTGAGGGAATCTTTGGAACAAAAAACAGGGCTGGGAAAGTTACATTTTGGACTGTAGTGATAACACACAATGTCTTCACTGCTTTTATTGGTGTCCCTACATTATATCCAATTCCAAAGTTATATTTCCATATGCCTCCAATAACAGCCAAGAAGCCCCGGGGGGAAATGTTGGCATGACCACTGCTATTTCAGAAAGTAGAGAAACAGAAGAATACAAGCAGAACAATAACAAATATCCCAGTCTCCTCCATTCTCCTGTCATCCTTCTCTTTGGTTATTTCCAGTAAGCTAGGAAAATGTTGAAAGATGATGGTTCAATGTTCTTTCCTCTCTTTCCTGCTAAAATACAAATATATATACAACATGAGATCAATGTATTGTCGAAGGCTTTCATGGCCGGAATCACTGGGTTGTTGTAGGTTTTTTCGGGCTGTATGGCCATGGTCTAGAGGCATTCTCTCCTGATGTTTCGCCTGCATCTATGGCAAGCATCCTCAGAGGTAGTGAGACCTCACTACCTCTGAGGATGCTTGCCATAGATGCAGGTGAAACGTCAGGAGAGAATGCCTCTAGACCATGGCCATACAGCCTGAAAAAAACCTACAACAACCCATCATGAGATCAGTTTTGTGCCACATATGTTTAAAATGCCCTACATTGAATGTACATGCAATGTATCTATACATGAGAAGTCCTGTGTTTATTTAGGCTAAGGAGCTTATCACATGTAGAAATCAAATCATGTAATCGGTCCTTACTGAACATGCATCCTCTTGTCAGTCTACCTCCTCCCTGGGATTAACCCAGTGAATTAATTGTTTCTTCATGTTGTGTGTTGACTTGTGCCAATTTCATTGGGTTTTCTTACATAAGGAATAGTAAATGTGGTTTTCCCAGTTCTTTCCTCTGGTATTCATTGGCAGCACTCCCTTTCCAAGAACTAACCACGGCTGACCTTGCTTAGTTTGGAAGATCAGATAGAATCTGGTACCTTTGGAATATTTAGGCCCTTCACAGTTCCTATATGGTCCCTAAACTAGAAGCTACATAGGTAACATGACAGTCACAAGTGCACAGCTTTGTATTACCAATTGTAACTGCACCAGGACTGTTGTGCAGCTGGCTGGGTGTCAGCTGCATTAAGATCACTACTGATGTGTGAATTCGAAGCCAGCCCGGGTCGGAGTGAGCTTCCGGCCAATTTGTGTAGCTTGTTGTTGGCCTTTGCAACCCGAAAGGCAGTTGCATCTGTCAAGTAGGAAATTTAGGTACCACCTATGTGTGGGGAGGCTAATTTAACAAATTTACTAGGTGATAAAAATCTCCAGCAAAAACATGTGGGGAATGCGGAAAGTACTTCATCAGTGTCGCAGATGGACGGTGAAGCGACAGCTCTCCTGTTGGCCAGAAAATTGGAATGTGAAATAGCCTCTGACTGTCTGTCTATATGTGTTGTGTGTCTATGGCATTGAATGTTTGCCATGTATGTGTACATTGTAATCCACCCTAAGTCCCCCGCGAGGTGAGAAGAGTGGAATGTAAATAAATAAATAAGGGAAGAATATAAATACTGTAAATAAATAAATAAATAACTGCTATAAAACATGTTACATAGTGGTGACTGCCATAAAAAAAACCCAGCCTATGACTTTTTCTGAAACAAAGTTACATTTGCCATCAAATGTTTAGAAAGAACTATATTCTGAATAATAGAAATATATTATTGTAATTTCAATGTTCACTGTAATACAATATTTGTATGCTGAAGACCTACAAATACGAACATGAAGTAAGCCCTCAGTTCCACCGAAAGGCATGATCAAAAAATTGAAATAGGAAACATTGAGATAACACAATTAGCAATTTGAATGCAGTCATGTTTGTTTACAAAAGAGGAAACTCCTTGTGAAACAAATAGAAAGGGAAATCAAGAAGGTCATCTGTCTCCAAAATATGTGGGAGATACTGACAAGCAAGTAATAGAAGCTCAGTGAAAAGCTAGTGGCTCAAGTCAGAAAGCATAGCCAAAACTCTACCAAGGTCATCAGCATGGTTAAACCACAGTGTCAAAGATGCAAGAAATTATCCTCAAATATAAGATACAAATGAAATCAGAGTACTTCTTAGTTGGACTAACAGATATGGACATCAACATGGATATAAACACAGAAATTATTTTCAGCTACCTAACAATAGCGGCAAGAATTGTATATGCTGGAGAACAAAGGAACTACCAACAAAAGAACAAGGGTCAATCAAAATTATGGAAATTATAGACATGGATAAACTAACCCAATTATTGTCGAAGAACTCAAGAAATCTTAAGAGAACAACAGACTGTCATTAATACAAATATTATATGAATGAAGAAAAAAGATAATAGTATAACTCAAACAGAGAGCTATATGGAAGCTCATTATAGAAAGAAAAAGAGACTAGAGATGAAATTCACCATGAAGAGGAAGATTGGAAGACAATAAATCTTCCCCCTTTCTTTACCCTATTATTATTATTATTATTATTATTTACTTTGCTTATATACCGCGTATCTCAAGCCCGAAGGCGACTCACAGCGGTTCACAAACAGTAAAAACAGTAGAAACAGCAGTGGTTCCATACAACATATAACAATTGACTTAACACATTATCCATAAATTACCAATAAGCAATTACAATGCACAATTATTATGAAAACAACTGTACCCAATCTTCTCATCATCCAAGCGTAGTCCAGGTTCGTCGTCCATTGTTCCATTCCTATATTCCATTACCAGATTGCACTAAATTACTCAAACGCCTGCACAAACATCCAGGTCTTCACCTTTTTGCGGAATACCATTAGAGATGGTGCTAGTCTAATGTCCGTAGGAAGGGTGTTCCACAGCCGAGGAGCCACCACCGAGAAGGCCCTATCTCTCGTCCCCGCCAGCCGAGCTTGAGAAGCAGGCGGGATCGAGAGCAGGGTCTCCCCGGAAGATCTCAAAGTCCTGGTGGGTTCATAGGCAGAGATGCGGTCAGATAGGTAGCTTGGGCCGGAACCGTTTAGGGCTTTAAAGGCCAACGCCAGCACTTTGAATTCAGCCCGGTAGCAGATCGGTAGCCAGTGGAGTTGGCGCAACAGGGGGGTTGTATGCTCCCTGCGCTCCGCTCCTGTTAAAATCATGGCTGCCGAGCGTTGGACTAGTTGGAGCTTCCGAGCTGTCTTCAAAGGCAACCCCACGTAGAGAGCGTTGCAGTAGTCTAAACGGGATGTAACCAGAGCGTGGACTACCGTGGCCAAGTCAGACTTCCCAAGGTACGGGCGCAGCTGGCGCACAAGTTTTAACTGTGCAAATGCTCCCCTGGTCACCGCCGAAACCTGGGGTTCCAGGCTCAGCGATGAGTCCAGGGTCACACCCAAGCTGCGAACCTGCGTCTTCAGGGGGAGTGCGGCCCCATCCAACACAAGCTGTAACCCTATGCCCTGTTCGGCCTTGCGACTGACCAGGAGTACCTCTGTCTTGTCTGGATTCAATTTCAATTTGTTCGCCCTCATCCAGACCGTCACAGCGGCCAAGCACCGGTTCAGGACCTGGACAGCCTCCTTAGTAGCAGGTGGAAAGGAGTGACAGAGTTGGACATCATCCGCGTACAGATGACACCGTATCCCGAAACTCCGGATGATCTCCCCCAGCGGCTTCATGTAGATGTTAAACAACATGGGAGACAATATTGAGCCCTGAGGAACCCCACAAGACAATGGTTGTGGGGTTGAACAGGTGTCCCCCAACAACACCTTCTGAGATCGACCCTCCAGGAATGACCGGAGCCACTGCAAAACAGTACCTCCAAGACCCATCCCCGCGAGGCGTCCCAGAAGGATACCGTGGTCGACAGTATCAAAGGCCGCTGAGAGGTCCAGCAGAACCAACAGGGACACACTCCCCCTGTCGAGCTCCCGGCGCAGATCATCCACTAAGGCGACCAAGGCTGTCTCCGTACCATGTCCCGGCCTAAAGCCAGACTGTGCCGGGTCTAGATAATCCGTGTCTACCAAGAATACCTGGAGTTGTGAGGCCACCACACGTTCCAAGACTTTGCCCAAGAAGGGGAGATTGGAAACTGGCCGATAGTTGTCGAATTTAGTGGGGTCCAGTGATGGTTTCTTCAACAGCGGTTTTATTATAGCTTGTTTTAAGCTCGCTGGAATCTTGCCTTCCCGAAGGGAGGCATTAACCACCACCTTCACCCACTCAGCCAATCCCCCTCTGGCCTCCTTTAGAAGCCAGGATGGGCAGGGGTCCAGGATGCATGTGGTTGGCCTCATTCCTCCAAGTATCTTGTCCACATCCTCGGGTTTCACCAATTGAAATGAATCCATCAAAACTGGACAAGCAGGTGCTCGTGTTACATCCTCAGAGACTGCCATTAACATGGTATCCAGACCAGAACGGATCAAAGCGACTTTGTCTGCAAAGAACTGAGCAAAAGCTTCACAGCGAGAAGTCGAATCGTCAGGGTTCCCACCTTGAGTGGTGGGATTTAAAAGGCCTCTGACAATTCGGAACAGCTCAGCCGGACGGTTCTTTGCAGATGCAATAGTGGCCGCAAAGAAGGCCTTCTTTGTGGCTTTTATTGCCGCGGCATATGCCCTTAAAAAGGACACAAACCGTGTTCGATTTGGCTCACTCGGATCCGAACGCCACACACTCTCTAGTTCCCTCTTCTTTCGCTTCATCGCTGCCAGCTCCTCGGTGAACCAGGGAGCTGGTTTAGCTCGGCTACTTGAGAGGGGACGTTCCGGAGCGATCGT